ATATATATATACCTCCAACGTTTTGCAATAAGTTTGATTATTCTCTCCGACTTTGATTATTCTCTCCAACTTCCAATTTTTTATAAATCATTTTGACACAAAATTTAGGACAACCCAGCTTCTAATAAGGGCAAACATACTAAAACAATGAAAACAATGTTTCTCGTAAAACATTAACAATAAAAACCTTTGAATGCTGTAGGGGTATCATATATTTTATCATAAATATTTTTCCTTATTTATATCAAGTGTGCCCCTATATCTGCAAATCATATGTCAAAATTATAAAAATCAAATATCATATACTCAACCATTTTAATTCACCTCACTAATGACGAACTTAGGATTTCCTGCTGTAGAATTTTTAACAATAAAATGCCAATAAAAATTACATTAACAATAACTTGTTTGAAAATTACAAAAGAGTATATTTGAAATTAAGTTTTGGAATTGAAAAGATAAAAATACCCTTCCTAAAATACATAATCTATATATAGCCAAAAGTCATTTATAAATATATAAGGGCATTTTACGGTCATTCACTTTAGAGTAGTGAATTTTTAGTTCACCGCACACACATGCAAGAAATTATCGACCACAAGGTGTGAAATTGGGTGGTTGAGAGTAATGTCATTGATTGGGCATAAAGTTTAAAATATAATTTATTGAATTATTTGACAAACTTTAAGCCATCATATTTCACATCCAATAGCTAAAGATAGTGTGTCAGGACCGAGTCCACCTGGACTCGACCGAGTTTCTAGGCCTCGCCCTATGGCGATGCCGAGTTTTCGTGAGTTATATGTACAACTCGAGGATACTAATAAATAAATTAAAAAGTTAAAAAAACAAAAATGTAGGATTGATCTATAATTATTTTTTATATGACTTATATTGTTTTGGCTAAAGATTGGTGAGTGTTTGTTTTTGCCATTAAATCCCTAGTTTTATATTTTCAATTTTTTTGGATTATTTAAAATACCCCGTAAGTCCACCTTTTCTAAATTCATTTTTCCAATAATTTTTTAAGTTTATTCGTTTGTTGTCTGATTCTGCATTATGTTATTTTAATTTTTTTTTTTTAATTTTTCTATGTTTTTCAATTTATTGACGGCTTTTAAGCCTTGTACAGGACTAGGTTTGCTCTTTATGACTAGGCTAAGTAACTCGCCTCAACCAGGAACTTTTGTCAGTTTCCCGTCCGAGGCGAGTCTTAATATACTGGCCAAGGATGATTTCGACCTCCTTGTACCAATGAATCAATTATCTTATAGTTTATATTAGTTTTATAATGAAAGCCACATGCTGCCGAATCCAAATTTTGGTCATGCCCAGTTGGCCTCAAGTGTCAATGATATAATTTGGACCTGGTCGAAGCTCACAAGTTGCGGTCTATTTTCAAGCTTGTGCCAGCTCAAAGAATAGAACCTTAACCCCTCATTTCTCTCACTCCAATCTTGACTTTGTCAGATTACCAAGAGTAGCCGTTTTAACTATGTAAAACAAATCTTGACTTTGTCATATTACCAAGCCAATCTTATTACAATTAATCTTAACTTTGTCAAGATTACCAAGGGAAGCTCTTATACCATGTAAACTCTGAATTGATTATAACATTTCTATTCAAGGTGGAAGCGTATAAATATGCAAAGGGATACTAAGAATCCCATGATATACTCGATTCAGAGTTTACAAATCTCTCACTTTTTCACGTTCTTTTTAACATGATTATAATCAAATAAATACCCTGACCTTTGCTGCAAAATGCAAGAACAAACAAGAAGAACCTTATGCAGAATAATTCTTCATTAGTATCTTACAAAGTATTAGAATCCCGGACACCAAGCCCCCAGTGTATCGCTTGGTTGCAGACCGGCCACTCCTGTCGACTGAGCCATCCTTGGTGTATTCAACCTCCATGATGTTTCCTTCATTCTCGATTTCAACCTACAAATTCAGGTTCAATGAATAACACAGTGTTAGGCATTACACACTTACATTCAATGAATAGACACAATGTTAAGGTTTACACAGTATTTGAGAGAGAAAGAGTTCTTTACTTTCTTTCTTGCAAACAAATTTACATTAAACGAGAGAGAGAGATGAAACTAATGAGGTTGTAACATACCAGGTCTCACTGAGACGAAGAGAAGATGGGGACGTATGAGAGAGAGAGACAGAGAGAGAGATGAATAAATAGACATACACTGGTAGTGTTCCTTGAAAAAATGAGGGAGCCTCGTAGATATCGCATAAAGTTCAAATTGGACTTGGTGGGCGCGCGCCACTTGCGACAGATATCCTGTGTAGTCTCGAACGTCCGTCCACTACAACAGTAAAAAATGATGTTACAAGAAAGGCTTATGCTCCTGCGCGAGTTTACTGTCCATGTACTCCCTCGTGTGAACCTCATTGAGGATTAACTTTGGAATGACAAATTTTGAGGATTAACCCATTGACTAATTTTAATAGAAAAATATTCCAAAATTGTAATCTTAAAAAAAAAAAAAATCTCAAGATTGAAGAGATGCCATCCAATTTTTTTAGGGAGAGAACTCAAATTTTAAAATTTTTTATTTTGAAAATAGCCATTTAGTGATTCTTAGGCGGTTTCAAAAATTTCAGACTAAAAAAAAATTCTCTCGAACAGAAGAGTGGACCAATCATCGAACTATTGAGGGGTCTTGTCCAATCAAAACTGATTTGACTGAATTTTAAAATTATGAAAAATAATTTAAAAATAGGTAATATATTATAAAAAAATTGCCCACTTTGTTTGGCTAGTTGATTTTGACTAAACTTGATTTTTTTTATGGACTAGATGGGCCAAGGCGGTTCGATCCGGTACTGATAACCATGCTGGCAATTGGGTGTTCTAATAGAAGGATAAGCTGTTCACTATGCTCCCAAGGAAGCATAATAAATGCTCTATTGGACAAAACCTTGCTAGAGAGTTTTGGGGCACCAAATTTTGGGCGTAACTTAATTAAGGAAAATGGGTTTTTTTATGAAAAAAAGGCCAAAACACAATTGCGAGTGCCCATGTAAACAAACAAGAGCAATACATATTTGGCAGCACCCATGCAAACATGCGCTAGAAACGAAAGAAGTGCATACACAATAAAGAGGATGAACAAGCGAAAAAGAGGAAAATGCCATATAAGAAGGGATGGTATACTATGCTGACCATTTTTTTTTGTTTTGTTATAAAGATGTCATAAATACTTCTAGCTGTCCGATTTCAAATCGGATTTTTTTTTTTATTTAAATTTTTTTAATCTAGTCAATAACAATCTTACAACCCCCTATTTAAAATCTCATGGCAAGAGTGATTTGCGATCTATTTGTATCAAGAGTGAATAGTCTATTTGTATACTGTTCTAATAAGAATCAAGTTAGAGATAGACATACTTCAGAGAGGCCATCACCGGATAGAGAGGGAAAGTGCAAGATACGAGGTGTGTCACGTGTCGGATGTAGACCGAGAGAGAAACTATGAGAAAATGTGAGATATTCAGAGGGGTCTGCTGAGAAATATAGAGAAGTGAGAGATACAAGAGAGCTTGGGCTCAGATGAAGAGAAACAGAGAGACAGTGTGAGATACTCAGAAGACTCAGGTTTTGAGGAGAGAATGGGGAGAGTGAGGTTATTATATAGAGATTTTTTAAGTGCTTTTTGAGGTTCTCTCTTTCATCTTTTTGTGAAATCATCATATTTTCCATCTTTTTTGCTGTCACTAAATTCCATAGAAATCAAAGATTGTGGCTCAAAATTGTGAGTCTCTTTGTCGGTTACTTCCTGCCACAAATTCTCCCATTTTGATTGGATTACAAGCTTCATATGACGGCCCAATTGTTTTTTTATTATGATTTTATGGAGACTAAAAAAATCCAATTTTAAAAGCTTTTTTAGTATTAAAAATCCAATCATAATAATACTGTTTCTTTGATGTGTATAAAAAAAAATTTAATATGAATTCATGTATTGTTATTGCATCAGAACCCACTCACAGCAGAAGTTTATACAGTAAACCATGGATTCAATAAGGGTCACTTCTCACTCTTTTTTACTCTTTTAATTTTAATTTTCTTTTCTTTTTGTGCTTCTTATTTATATATATATATATCTAAAGAGAACACGAAAAGCTTACTCATAGGCCAGTCATTGACAATCAAAATATCCTAGTCTTTCATGGAAATTACCATGGAAGTAACGTGCCCATAAAACCGCCCCAAAATCATGAGATTAAGAACTTTCTTTGCGGGAGAAAGTGCATAGGTGCCAGATTACATATCAAGCCATATGGAGAGAGATGCGGGAGAAAGTGCATAGGTGCCAGATTACATATCAAGCCATATGGAGAGAGAGAGAGAGAGAGAGAGAGAGGAGGAGGTAACGACTATTTGTTTACTATGTAGTAGAAGTAAATTAGTACGTACGACCAACCTAAATAACTTACTACGTAAAGGTGGTCGGTTACTAGTAGTACGT